ATGGTCAAGCTCATCACTAGCGTGGTCGTTGGCTTTATGTCTCACCAGCGGTACCGCGGAAAGAGAGAGAAATGATCCCTCGCTTTTAAGGACTCGACGTCTTATACGAACGTTCGACTTCGAGTTGATGGAGCTCTCGAGGCGGTCCGCCATGATGATGATGATGGCTAGCGCAAGACCAGATGGTGACTCCGTCGTTCACTGAGTGGTTGTCGCCATTGCTGCCACCTCGAGTCATCATTTGTCCGCTGAGAGAGGACAGCGAGGAAACAGCTAACAACAAGTGAGGAACACACATCCTTGACAAAGAAGCGAGAGCTCGGTGACCGACGTGGGAACGAAGGAACGAATGAACACGGAAGGCACTCGCAAGCGAGGGGAAGGGGGAATAGGTGGTATTTTCTTAATTTGAGAGGAATCGAACCACACAATTTGGTTGATTTCTATCTCGAAATAGGGGAATCGAGAGATTCGAGGCTTCGTCGTGCTGGGAGCATCAGGGATGGGACGGACGCGGGGCATCGCGAGGACAGCGTTCCAAGTCAGAAACATTTCCCGCTCGCTAGGAGAGGGTGCGCTTGTCGCATAGATGGATGACCGCTAACTTGGGCCATTCATCCAGCTCGCGGGTCCTTATTCCGCTTCGGAAACGTTCCCTCCTTCTGCCTGCAACCCATCTCGGACAGCCCTCATAGGCGTCCGTCACCCCTTTTACATATCTCCGCCTCTTCCAACAAGCTGCTGCTGCTGCTACCGCCTACACTGCGAGAAGCTGTCCTTGTGATTCTTCTGCCTCTATCGCCAGCGGAGCTCCCGCTAAGGACAGGCTCCGGCGGAACAATGAATCCCGGGTTAAGGACGAATAACGGCAGGAAGCTGTACGGGTGAAGAAGAACGACTTCTGGGCTACATCGAACCGAGGAGTTACTCTTCGGAGCGAGAGCCTTAAAGGCGACCGCCGCATCGACGGGCCGAGGGATATGGGGAAGGGTTTGCTTATTTATTATTCTCAAGTACGCGGCGATCGCGCTTGCATGCATGCCTGCTCGCTCGCCCCCGATCGGGCCAGACACGCAGTTTCGTTAGGGCGAGCGCCGGAGCCGAGAAGATTCTTTCAATATCTGAGCTGGGGAGTAGAAGGAAGAGACAGAGAAGAAGACCGTGGCAGCCAGGGGAGAGCGCTGAACCCTGCCCTCGGTCGCGGCACTCTGTCAGCCGGTCGAGCCTCGAACTCGGTTCTAGGCCGATGTGTGGAAAACATGAATCGCTAAACGCCGTGGCGTTGCGTCGCAAAAGAGAGAAAGCTTGCGGGAGACGGCGCATCTGCCGCTTCGAGAAAATTCGTATGGGAACGATGTCATTCGGTTCATCGGATAACTCTCGCGATCGCGTCGCTCGGGTTCTCAGCTCCGTATTTCGTGGTCTCAGGCTGAGCCAAGTGTCGGAGACTCCAGATTTCGGATAGCGCACTTTCACTGAGCGAAACCACGATTTTCGACCTTATTCCCTTCTCTCATTCGATGTGTTCTCTGAAACCTTCATCTGGCCATCATCATCCACGGATATATATAATTGACTTTATTCCTGATCCATGGCCACTCGATAGAGAGGTTCTGAATGAATCTGCGAGGGAGCTCTTCCCGAGCATTCGGTCCTTGCCCCGAGGAGTCCGTGGACACTCTCGGTCGCTCTTGCGGCAAGCTGAAGTCGGTCCCAAGGCCAAAACTGCGTCGCTCAGCACCTCGGAGTCTAAGAGTTTTCTCTTTTCGCGAGCGACCACAGCTCAGATGTCCAACGTCTTTCGATTCTTTTTCTTCTTTTCCGAAGTAGGTACCCCTTCGATTTTCCCTTATTTTTTCGTTTTCTGCCATGGTTTCCTGCGGCCGGTAGTCGCTGAAGGGCCAAGAAAGAACGACCGCTCGTTTGAATCGAGTCGGAATTGTGTGTTGGTGACTTGGAAGCCTGAAATTGGCCAAACAGTGTTCGATGGTTGGTCGAGCTGTCCGTGGTTTTCTCTCCCTCTGTCTCCTTCTCCGTTTTTCCCTTCGTTCTCAGACATACTGAGTTCGATTGTCGTTCACTCCGGTCGGTGGTTTTCTTCGTTCTTTGCTTCGCTCAAACGGTTTTCCGAATGGAAGCAAAGCGGAGATAAACACCGAATGGAGCGAATTCCTCTCGGTCTTTTGCTTTCCCTCAGAATCGCTGACTGTTTGACCGACTGGTCCCGTTTGCTTGGCTGACTGCTTGGTGGCGGACGACTGGTGGGAAGGAAAGAAAAAAGCTCACCTTTTCCTTACCCTGTTTCTCCGAGACAGAAGACGAAGCCCCGCAGGACGCTAGTTGACTGGAGGGTCCTCCGACAGCTTCACTCGCTGTTCTCCCGTTCGGCCGTTCTTTGCTCGGCTGACGGCTTCTGGGTAGGTTGGCAAGCTGGATGGCTTCTGACATGTCATTAGGAAAGGTGGTAGCGGCAGTCGCCAGGGATGGAGAAAACGAAGGAAACGGACAGATGAGCGAACGAACGAACGGAAGGACGAACGAAAACGCGAAGAAAGCAAACAGGAACACAGGCGTACAAGGGGCAGTTGCTCCGCTGTGGATCTATTCCGCAAGTTGTGCCGTCCTCCGATTCGCACGGCTCGTCCCCGAGCTCCTCTTTTCATCTGCTATTCCCCGCTTATCTTCCCCAAGCCTCGTCCGTACCTCCAGAAGCGTAGGACGGACCCGCGAGCGGCGGGGCCACAACTGTCCATGTAGGTCTGTCACAGACTATGCGCGAGTGAACGACAAGCCTGTCACCGCACCGAGAACGCGAGGGGAGACGAGAAACGGAAATACGAGGAAAGAAAGCGAGAAATGCAATAGAAAGACGAACAAGGCAAGAATGAAATCTATGAAGAGACTCGGAGAGCCACACCGGTTAAGCAAAATCTCCTCATCAGGACTGACTTCTGGGCCAATGCCGATGACCGGGTCGAAGCACAACCTCGTATGCAACATTTCCGTCATAGCGGCTGCTGATTTTCCCCTCGCGACGTGACGCTCCCACCCTCAGAGGGGAGCAAGACAGGCGGATGTCGCAGAGGCTCCCCGGTGGGAGCCTGCTCATGAGCGTGGGCAAAGAAAAAAAGCGTGGAAAAATTGACTCAGGGCGACCGTTATTGATGGAACAAGTACGATAAGATGTCTCACCTCGGATGGCAACAGCTAACAATGGGGAGTTCTTTCAAAATGCCGAAATCGCATTCTCGCATTGCTACGTCAACGTCCGCGTTCCCGGACGACTGAAGAGGGAGCCAACGGCATCCAACATAGTATGTTTCTTCTCCGCGTTTTTTCGGTAGATGATGGCTTGTCAACGCATTGTTGCTCAGAACATCGGAGCAGATAGCAGCGATCAGGAGAAAGAACACGAATTCAATGCGATAGACAACAGGGAACGCGGAGGCGGACGAGCGAGCTGTGTGCACCTGCAGTGACGTGCAACGAGAGAACCCGACGACGGGGCCGAAGTTTCGGTTAGAAACCATGATAGCTCATTCATCTCTATCTGTCAACAACTAAGGAGTCTGCGTTCTCTGGAACTCGGGATATTGGTTGTGTGGTGAGGAGAGATATGATCCGAAAGGGGGAAGAAAGTCGTCTGCGAATCCTCATTTTCTCATGACTTCCTCTCCTTAGAGGGAATCTCCAGCGAGTGTCCATCCTATAGGATTGGATTTCACAGAGAAGGGGGGAGGGGGAGTATAGTTCTCCCCGCCTTCGACTTTCTGGGACGGTTCCCTACGAAGCCGCGGTAAGAGCCTTCTCGTTGCTCTCGACGCTTGCTGCGAACCTCCTCATCGGCTCCTTCCTCGAGGGACCCGCAACAGGAAGTAGGAGGGTTCAGGGTGGGAAGCACTTGAATCCCGCGCGAAATTCCGAAAAACGTTCCCGGTTCGCAGCTGTTTTCGCTGTTGATTTGTTTTTCCTCGGATTCATGCGGAGAAATTCTTCATGCGGTCATATTCTCTCCAAGTTGGCTCTCTACCGGAAACGGCAGTGGGTTGCCCATTGCCCTCCTCCCGTTGGGGGCTCTCACGAGGTGGGTCGCGCCATTGCCGCGGCACTCCTCGTAGTTTCCGCACAACCCGTGTTCCACGAAAGCATAAGAAGGAATGACGCGGCATTTGGCCGAAGGGAAATTCAGCAACGCTCTCTCCACTGAATATCTTGTTATTCTCTCAAGGAATTGGGCGAAAAACCGGAGAATGAGCATCAGAATAAGAGACCCTACCCTATCGCGGGTCCTCTCACGCTCATCGCCGATTCTGCCCTGGCTCAAGCGCGCAAAGCTTCAGAGTGGTCGCTGCTTGGGGTCTCTCGCCGCGAAAAGCCACTCTGTCCGTATTACGCCTTGTTATACATATTCCGACTCCCATTCGGACTCCACTCCAGCCTCCCCTCTCCCATCGTTTGCTCCATTCACAGTCGGGAACGTTCGGCAGAAAAGCTCATTAGGTGCCCCTTGCTGACCAGGCCTCGAGAAGTCGTCTATCTTTACCGAAGTAGCCAGCCACAGGCTATCATATGACATTTCGAGCTCTGACGCATGACGGGAGCGCCTGGAACACCCGTGTCCTCAGGGCTGCGACCCACGCTCGCGCGAGTGCGCGCAGCGTCGATTTTGTCCTCCGCCTGCCGCTTCCTTCGAGCTTGCAAAATATCAAGTCATCGAACTTTGGAGGTATACGGCGAGAATTTTCCCCTCAGATTACTCCGGAATATCCATCCGCTGAACGAGGGCGACGCTCTGTCGCAGCTGTCGCCAGCCTCATCAGCTCCTCATCAGTTCAAATTTTTTTCACAAGACACGTTGTGCGTATTTTTCAATTTCTTCGGCAAGACCAATTCACTGTGAGAGGCGGCCAGGTTGATAGCGTAGTAGTTAGGACCCGAACTCCGTCGATGCTTGGTATTCGGACAGAATAGGAGAATAATTCACTTTCCATTCGTTCCAGGTGAGCTTGCTCGCGCGATGGCGAACAAAACCGCGGCAACGTGAGCGGGACGTCCAGCGAGTAAGTCAGCTTCCGAATAATTATCAGGAACTTATCGCCTCGAACTTTGATTCAATGACGTATGCGAGAAGCAAGACGTTAGACTCTGTGTGTGCGCGGCTCAGATCTCCTGTTCGTTTCAGGCGGAGCAAGGTCCAGGGCTCGACGGTGGACAGGCCAACGTGCGATGAAGATGACGAGAACGTTGAAACCTACCGTCCTGTTGCTAGCGCTCGCAAGCTTGGCGACATGCTCCCAAGCGCGAGGTGAGTTCGAAAATTTCCAGCAGCGATAGAAGATCGGAACAGAGTCAGCAACAGTGAACAAGTACCTAATCCGAAGCGAGTTCGGCTCGCTGAGAGAACGGTGTAGTTTCCGTCCGTCGGTCGGTAGATCGGCGGAGCGCATGCAGCGCCGGTACATCTCCGTGCTCTGCCCAATCATCGTTCTCAGTCCCCGTCAGATCTGCTCAAAGACCCCGTTCCCAAGATCCGCAATCCTCTCGTTGCCTCGCGGAATTCTTGGCGTAGAACGTGCGAGCTCGTAGCTCCCGAGAAGTTTCTCGATTTCGCAGGCCGTTAGCATGGCAGTCGGCACCTGCAAGCCCGCCCGCTTGGCTGGTGGTGCCTGCACGATGTCGAGCGTCTAATTACCGAAAATGGTGCCGTTAAAATGCTCGTACTGATCTCGATTACGGCACTCGCATCTCCGGAAATTGCTGCGCAGCAGAAACCGAAGCAAAATTTCGAATTCGCAAACGACTTTCTCCGATCAGACGTTGGATTCTCGACCGGGTTCCCGCCAGACACCCACCTATTCGCGAGCTGAGTCTGTTCCGAATCCACGGTCCCGGGCGCGCAGAGAAAGTCGTCGACGCGATAAAGTGAAGAAATTCTCGACTCTCTTATCGAGTTCTCGACGAAGAATTGCCCATGTTCGCTTGCGCACCGAAGGCCGTCCACGGGCTTTGTCGTTGTATAAGTTCTTCTCTATCGTGCTTGTCTTCGTCTAACTATGCCCCTCGTCACTTACTCACGAACGGACCGACGAACGAGCGAACGAAGAGACTGACAGACGAACTCAAGAGAAGCCGGCTAGTGCGCGCGATACAATTACCGACTCCACCCAGCAGATAGAGCCTTTAGCCTGACTGGATAAGCATCCTAGCCCCGGCTGTAGCCAACAACAACAACGAAAGCAGGCGTCGTTGATAAATGATTGCATAAGTGGTGCAGCACATAAATAGCGTTATATACAATACATGACTGTCCCCATTCGTGGAGGCGCTCGATCCTCCGACCGACGAGCTGCTGACTGCAACTAATCGACCAACGTTCACCCCGGTCCGACTGGGCAGAGGCGAATGCCCTCGTGGACACTTTTTTATGCGTACAACGAGGAAATTCGACTGACACATATATTCGGTGTTACAGGGAAGCACGGCTCCGGACGGAGAGCGAAACGACCACCGCAAACGTTTGCCCTCGAGCCGCAATCGAAAGTAGCCACGCTGGGAGAAGACGTGGTGCTGGCCTGTCGGGTCGAAAACAAAGTCGGTACCCTACAATGGACCAGAGACGGATTCGGACTCGGAGTCGACCGGGACCTCAGCGGTTTCTCGCGCTACGCCATGGTCGGCAACGACGAAGAAGGCGACTACACGCTGCACATACGTAACGTACAGTTGGAGGACGATGCGAATTTCCAATGTCAGGTTGGAGCTATGGACGGAATCGACGGGATCCGATCGCGATCCGCAAAGCTCAATGTTCGAGGTGAGTTGTCTATCATCATGATTCGCTTCACATCAGGGGGAGCTCGCTAGGGACTCCGTAACGCAGCATAGATAACCTCGGGTCGAGACGAAGCTCCAGAGCGAAGCTTCACCCGGAAGCCGCTCCGAGGGGAATGCGACCCCGTCCCGTAAGTGAAATCAGAATTCTGTGTGGGCTGTGGAAGGGCGAAGCGTGTGTTTAATCTTTTGAGAGCGGATAAAGGATATAGAAATCAAGTCATCTCGAATAGGAGAGGAGATTGGGTTGAGTCGTCTACACCGAACACGTGGGAGCGACCGGAGGCTTCAAGGAAACAAAGGCAGAGCAGGAGAAACATCCGCAGTAAAGCTCCACTGGCAAATTGTTTCTGTAGACTTTTGTCCTTCCTCAGGGGTGCTGCTGTCCATCATGTGACTTCGTGTCAGCTTTTCTATCTGGGAAGTGTTCTCCTCAGTGGGCTGTCGCACCCTGCGCTAGAGCTGGCGGTCCGCGAACAGGGAACGAACAACGGAGGGGGTTCCGTTTGAAAAAAGGGGTGGGCCGCTCGAACTTTTTTCTCCGGACCGCCGCACCATCATCTCGGCGGTAACCCTGACCGACCTCTTTCTCGACGACCGCGGCGCGAGACCTGCGCTGACGCCGACATCGGCGCAGAGACCATAAGATAGAGGAGCGGTGGCAGATAGTCGAGCCGGCCCGGAGCGTCCACTCGGAGAGCGCGTTTTTCCCGCTGGCGGGCTGGCGTCGCTCGGCTTGCTCGTTGCGGGCAATCCTCCAGCGTCCTTTTATGCAAATGTTATAGACCTGCCCTCCTGCCTGCCAGCCAGCTCAGTAGGTCGGATAGGCGGCCTATGACGGCCGCAAGTGCGATGAACGACCTCCGGTACTCTTGGGCCCCTCGTCCACGATACCGATCTGTCGGTTTTCCCCTTCACGGAGGCTCGAATCGACCCATCCTCCACTATGGAGGACCGAGGCTTCATCGATGGACGTTCCGACGCCATTCATAGTTTTTCTCGCCCCTCGACCTTCGATTCGGTTCTCACAAGACTCCGCTACGTTTTCGCGATTTTTGTTGGAGGAATTTTTGGCCCAGAATTCAGAGAAACAACCACCAACCGTCACATGCAGATCAGTCCGAAAATCCGGTCCATTTGGACCCAGAAATGCCATGTGTGAACCCCGACTCTTCGAAACTCCCATTTATGTGGTATTTGTTTCTGGTATGAAAGAGATAACTCGAGGTGAGTCCACCAAGTTTTCGACAACTATGACGAAAACCGTAAGAACTCATTTTTTGTGGACCCGCTCTGATATGAACTTGGACGGGGTAGCTCAATTCTCCATTTTCGTCAGCTCCGAAGCGAGCGACGCAACGGTTGGGTTGACCAGTCAAAACTCGAATTATTCGACCGCCGGTTGATTGAATGTGTTTAGGCTGTTTCTGAAGGTGGCTAGGTCGTCGGAACGATGTACATCGGGAAGCACTAAGAATGCCCGATACGAGCTTCATTAGTTGTTTTTTGGTCCCTTCTCCTTGTTGGCCTGACGGTCGGTGGGCGGGCGAGAGAGGGTAAGGGATTTTCTTTTCCTTAGAGCAAAAACTAAATAGGATTTGGGACTTCCCCATCAGTTGGCGCCACCGGAGCTAGTCCCTGTTCCCTGTTTTTCCTCCTTGGCGCGCCATACAAGGGTTCCCAGTCTTTCTCCGTCTCTCCTTTGCCATCAGTATCCTTGTTTTGCTCTCTCCTATCAGTTTTTTTATTGTAGTCATCATCGAGCTCGCTCGGGGGTCGAAAGTTCGCCAGGGTCGCTCTCCTCGAACACCGGAGTTGACCCTCTGCAGCAAGGTTGATTTCCTCCGAATGAACGTCTCCTCAAAATCTGGATAGCAATATCTGGGACAAGCATCGACCCTTCCTGATGAAAGCCCGCGAATCTTGACCGTTCTCGTATCTGATTGGAGAGTGACCTAGATCGGGGATGGCCACAATGAGTGAGTTGAAATTCCAAGGTCCATTAGACTTAAGCGAGGGTCACTAAAATCGATGCCCAGCCCGCCACCCCACGGCCCCGCGATCCTCGCACTTCCAATCTCTGACATCCTACCCGCGTTTTTCCGGGAAGCGTTGCTACAAATGCGCTCATTTACGCCGGAGTGAGCCCTGGCGTCAAGGGCTACGAGCGATGCTTGTCGGAGAGCGATGGAAAATGCTCATGCCTCCACATGCTCTGTTTCATCTCGTTCAGGCCCCAATCGCGTTGAGAAGAGAGTCTTGAGGGAATCAAGACTCCGGAGCGTTCTGGGAGCAGCTTGCGTACGATCTGTGCGTGGGATGCATGGGAACGTTCACGTCAGTGCCCCATATCCTCCGAAATTGATAGATTTCTTGGGACTTCGGAAGCTGGCGAAGCCCTTAGAACTTTCGATACATCGAAAATCCTTCTTGTGACGAACGCCTCGTATATGCGTCGAATACCGAATTCCCTCATGAGAAACGCGACTATGACCAAGTTTTCTGGTAGAGATTTCCCTGTTTGACGTGCAGTCTGTTCAGCGAACGCCTTCTCGTGAACGGAGCACTTTCCTAGTTCTGGAAGCTCGTTCTAAGGCGGGTTCTTGATAAGGATGGTTCCTCGTGAGGCGTGGAGTTCCCCATGTGAGGAGTCCGTCGACTGTCGTCTGGATGCGAAGGACTCCATAAGATCCATGCGCGGAATTCCGGCGGTGTCTTCATGGGCTCCTGAAACAGAAAATGAGATTACGGCGATACCATACATTTTCTAGAGCGACCGATAGTGAATCGGTGAATTCGAGCGGTTTTTTCATCGTAGGCAGATCCCTCATCGCCGATTCTACGTCGTTTCGACGAAAATTCCATGAGAACAGCTGCCGTTGTTCCTCTGTCTTTCCGGGTCAGCGAAAGATGCAGGGCTAGATACCACTTCGAGACACGGACCTTGCTGGTAAATGTTCAGTCGGATTGGAGCATCCTCACGAACGGGATCAAGACGAGAGCCACGTAAAAGCTGAAGGGAGGGCCGCCGAATCCTTGAAAACTCCAAACGCTATTGCGCAAACCTTCAGCCTCAAGTGGTTCACCTCACTCTGAAAACTTTCGAACAGTGAGCATGAGCATTAAGCGCATCACGCCGACATGGGCTCGGACGCGCCGCCGCGATCGCGCGAAGGTTGCGTGTCACTGACGATGAGAACGAGAGAGTGTCTCTGTCCTACGTGCTCCGTCAAGATTGTTTTGTCCTATTTGTTCCTCGCACAGTAAAGACAGTCTACAAAGGAGAACGGAGAAGGGAAAATACAGAACGAGAGACGGACACGTTCTTTGTAGCTGCTCCCATTGTCTCTGACCTACCTGTCGGGAGGCCCGTCGAAGCTCATCCGAGGGTCGCGACTGGGATGGGTGCGTATCAAATAATTGAACAGAGGAAGGTGCCAATGGACCGATTGATTTCTTGTTGCACAGCCCAACACTCGATCTCTCGGCGGGTGTGGCAAAGTGTTGCCCGTCACGTTCATTCGCACTTCTAGATCTCTCATCGTCCACTGTTCTCGCTTTGTCGAATCCCAACACTATATTTTGGATTTTTTCCTCCGCGGACGCTCCAAAAAATGTCGATCAACCTATCATCGCTGACAGAGAACAGACGAATTCCTCACCGGTGAGGCTGGTCGGCTTCACTTGGGTAGGTACTTGTCCATCGAACTTGTAAAACTCGCTGCTAGGGCGGATGGTATGCACTTGGATCGATGAGGCAATGGGCTCCGACTCCCCAGCATCGGAGCTCCATCTGCAAAAGTGACCATTAAATAAGATGTCCTCGATTCCAATTCTATTGCAAACTCGACCTCGGAAATCAGCTGCAGCAGGTCATTCCTGTAGTTGCCAATTCGAGGAAATCTGAGCTTCTTGGAGACGTTTTCCGTTTGCTTCGATCTACTTCTCACTCTTATTGATCAAACTCAGTTCCGTGGTGAAAAGAAAATGAAAAGAAAACCTCTGCCGCAGGGGCAGAGGTTTTCGCAGAGATCACGCATTCCGTCAGTCTCAAAAAACAAGCCCCGCAGGAAATCTGCTCGCTCTGCAGGAAGGATCCCCGAATTCCGGTAGGGTGGGTCTCTCGAACTTTTCTGAAGTCACTCAAGAGTAAATCGAAGAGCGAAATACGGCTTCCGGCGATTGACTGTCGGAGGAATCCCTCAGGCTGTCTCAGGCCGCTCGCTTGCTGAGGTCTACCGTTGTACTCCTAAATTTTACGCAGCGCATAGAAAACGGAAAACTGCGGGAATGATATTCGCTATCTGAGCTCGCGTCGAGTGCGAATGAGCTGCTACTACGGACTGATATCGCTTGAACTTTTTCCCCGCGGGGGAATCCTCCGAATCAACTCGAGTATTTTGGACCTCCGCTTTGCCACCAAGTTGGCGACACAGATCACGCTCCGTTCTCCAGGGCTCCAACGCACGTGAAATCGAGCTCTCGCTACGCATTCACGCTAATGGTAGCAGAGGGTTCAACGCGTGACAGTATTCTCCAATCTGTTCCTCCCGGCGCGCGGATTCTCCCTCCTTCTCTCTTCGCCCCGCTCTCTCGATGAGCATCCATTCATCTGTCCATCTATTCGTCCGTTCATGCGTACGCGTCACTTTCGCTGTTCGGTCGACACTGCTTCACAATTTGATCTTCAGCACGTCATCAACACAAATATTAATGCGCGCCAGCAGCGTGTTCATGGACCGCACTGAAAGTTGTCCACTTGAGTGAGCAGTTCAACAGCAGTTCCGGCAGAACCATTAGTGAAGGGCGACATCGATCGACGCGTGGCAAACGTTCATCACTGCGAGTTTTGTTTGAAACCCCTCAAACACTCCCACGTGCCATTTGACGCGCGTTTTCGCGTGAATGGACCGGCGAAGAAAAGCGTCTGAGTGAGTTTGCATGGCCTGACCCGCGAGGGCGAGCCATTCGCTCTACGAAGCTCTGGAGTTCGCAGCTTCCCTCCACAGACTGTTGTTTACCATCCTGTGGATTCGATTTTCTTTCTGGGACAGATGACGCGACCTCTTCGCTCCCGTGTCGTTCAGAGACTCGTGTGATACATTCTGGATAAACATTGAGTCGAATGATCGTGCAGTCTCGGATCAACCCTAGCTGCGTATAAACACGGACCTCGAAGCTCAGTGGAGCCGCCGCGCCGCGCCCTCAGTAGATCGAGATTGATACGCAGCGAGTGAACACGTTCGCTCACGCAGACCCGAGTCTGTTCCTTGTCGTTCTTCGATGTTCCACGTTTGCGAATCATCTGGAGTTTGTTGCTTTGCGTCAGTCGATGCCCATGGAGACGTTTCTCTCCTGATCCTCGGAGAAGATCCACGCAGGAAATTATGAGGCCCGCTCATGATCGAGCGTGATGAAACCCTAATCCGCGAGTAGACTGAAAAACGTCTACAGCGGGAGCTTCGCCCACCCCCCAGCTGATCGAAGCTGCTGAACTTACTGGAGGAGAAGCCCTGCTCAGACACCGTCTATCAACTTCCGAGTTGGAACTCCTCGCTCATTTATCACCGAGTAGCCCGACACACTCACCGGAAGGATGAATCAAGCATTCGGAACTCGCTCTCCTTTTCTAGAACGCTCCCCGGACCAATCCCTCTATTAGGATTTATGAACGCCGCGCCGTCGTAAATGCAACTGCCTCGCTCTGTCGGGAACTCAATAGAAGCACGAACTACTGTCGAGGATCAGAGATCTCTCTCCCTGCAACGAATTCCGTGGCCGAAGCTCCGGGTGGTGATAGGTCGATGGAAGGTTGGCAGGCGCCCCGGAAGAGCACCCGGAAACACCGGATATGTCGGTCCGGAAGACTTCATCCTCATTGTTCTAGGTTATCCAGACCCGACTCTGATTATTTTCCGCGACAGCAGATAAACCCAAATCAAAGAGCACCAAGGATCTTTGCCGTGATTGCGTCGCGACTTTTCATCAAGCCAGATTGCTCGCTCCGGAGTAGGCTTTTCGCATGCAGACATTTACTGATCGTTGCATCCGATGAGATAGGAGTGACCGTGCGTAGAGATGTCCTCGGGAATGTCACGTAATTACGGTTTATCTTTTCCGGTGGCTGCGTCGCTCCGAATCCAAGTATAGATAAGCTGTCACAGTGTCAACAAACGGGGGTCTCTGGAAGTAGGTCTCCTCTCTCTCCCGAGCGACGGATGGTTCAGGAACTTCTTCAATCTCAATCGTTTCCCCCCTAGAATCTAACCCGAGCTACAATCTCATTTATATCCCGCGTGACGCAGAGCCGAAAGAATTCCGGCTCCGCTCGGCAGAGAAAAATTCCGCGACCTTTGGCCTTCGACGTGGCCCGGATCGTTGTTCCGCCGAGAATTTCCTGGTCGAATTCTGAGGCATCGCCGTACCACTCGTCATCTCGCATGACATAATACTGAACTGAACACACGAAGTCCTGAGCTCTTGACTCCGAGCTCTGACCACTGTGACCTCGATGTGGATAGTGCTCGAAATAACGCAGGTGTACGCGCAATGACGCAGCTTGTGACGAGCGGATATCGTGTTCGTTTCGCGCGACGCTCAAACGTGTGAACGCGGTTCCCGGGATGGGCCCACGATCCAATTACACGGAGTCGATTGCTGCGTCAACGTTACAACTATTACATACTCGGCAGTTGCTGCCGAGTCCTCCTCGGCGAGGAGCAAAAATTTCGATGAATTTCTCCGTCCATCATGAGCCGAGAGAACGATAAAAAAAGCGAGTCGATACCGCGCTAATAATTGTATCTTCTCCTTTTTCGCAGTTGCCCCAAATCCACCCCGAATCCATCCATCGGGTCATATCACAACAACGGCCGGTATGAAGGTGGAGCTAGTTTGTCGTTCCGACGGAGGAAAACCGGCTGCCGAGTTGACGTGGCTCGATGGCGATCGAGCGAAAGTTGAAGGTATGTGATGTTTCGCGTAATTCCTCATAGACGTACATGTATTTGAATCGCCTTATCCGCTAACATTTCCTCGAAACAATTTCGTTGCTGGTATCCGGCGGCGTCCCTCTCCGTCGGATATCGCGCTTAGTCTCTTCGACCGTCGGCGTCTCACATGCTGCGAATGACGCAGCCGATGATAAATGCTCGAAGAATGTAATTGACTAGCACAATGGAAACATTGGACGACGTTAGTTAGAGCTCCCCGATGTCGTTCCACTAACCCCAGTCATTAGTGTGTCTCCCTGCGAAAAATGAGAATCGAACCCGCCCGACCTCATGATATTATGTCCGACCCCCGAGCGTCGGCCCGCGCCTCCGGACAGAGGACACCGAGTCCGACATCAATGGGAAAGAATGATTCTGTCATCGGAAACTTCCGTGTGTATTATTCTGCAGACTGAGATAAACCTCCGCTCCTCCGAAAGCCCTCATGATGAGTACCGATACGACTCGCCCGGCGACGCCCACTGGGTTGAATTGAAAATTCCGCTTCCCCTGCAGGGCTCTGCGCGATGTGTTTCGTATCGTGTTCCTCCTCGGTCCCGGAAGATCCTATTGGATCGGGTTCTGGATGCCGACCGAGTACCTAAATCCCTCGGTCGCACCTGCAACGGAGCCGTCTCCCTACATCTGCGAGAGATGCTCTCGAGTGACAGCGAGCTGGTAATCTCCGCCAGACACCGGATCTCGAGCTCGTCGGGGTTTGTTATGCCTGGCGCTCGTTGTCGGATTCGGAACTTGTCTCGCTCAGACAGAATGCTCCAGACACCGGAACGCACGGTCGCCGAGTTGCATCCACAAGTGTCGATCCTTGTTCCCGGCCTTGATGGGTATGCTCGAATCCTGCAGAAACCGAGAATCGCGAGGTTCAGAATTCGGACACGCGACTGCTTGACAAAAGTCCTGATCCAAATCCGGACTAACGTGGAGTTGAACGCGCCTCCAGGAGCTCGATGAGCGACTTTGGCGTTGAGACTTCCTGGAAATAATGAGCCGATTTCCATTCCCTCCAGTCGCGCGCATCGTTCAATTTAGGTACACTCTGAATGTCATGACATGGAACAGAGCAAAAACTCAAATGCTTGTTCCATCAATAATTTACCAGAATAGCGCGTCATTACAATTAGGAGAGCGAGTGGAAGAGGGAAGATCTGAATTTCTCAACAGCGAGGGAACTCATCTTGCGCTCTTCGACTGGATCTGAGTCTTCCTCAGCCACCACTCGCCGTCCTGATGCCAGCTTAGGGCCTTGTCCGTCCAACGTATCCGATCGAACGACCGCCGGCGCTCGGAGAGAATACCCGTGAACTTAACCGAGGAATATTAAACACTCACCCGGATCGGAACGGATTAAGGTCGTAGAGCGACCACGGTCCGGATTCCGTCATGGATCGGGATAAATGAACAGAGAAGGACTCCGGTTGGTGGGGAAATCAATGAGGATCCTCCGCGCGGGACCCTGCGCGGACGCTCATGAAGGTCTCGGGATACGTGGCTTGAGATTTTCGTAACTGACATGGGTCAACAGTTTCGTGGGGAAGTTCGTCCTCTCAAGATTCTCTTCTGCATGGATGAGCTCCGCGATCTCAGAAGGGATCCTTCGTTGCTTGCCTATACGAGAGTTTGCAGAAGCTTGCCTAGCGGAGCGAGCCGACGACAACGCTATGGCCGAACAAATGCGCGCCATTTGAAACTTCCTTATCCCCATTACCAGAGCCCAGTGTCCCAATTAACGCCGTGGATGAGTATTTCGATATTTCCTCGACGAGTGTTGAAAAAAGTTTTCTCAACTGTTTCAGGACCAGGTCTGCATCGCGAGGTGGAGTCTGTTTCCGAGTCCAAAAGGGAAAACTCCGTGTTAACGTGGACCTTCCACCCGAGCAAAGACCACGACGGACAAAATCTAACGTGTCGAGCTGATAGCCCGGCGACGACGGATTCCATGCTGGCGACTGTGACCATCGAGGTCAAATGTGAGTGAGAGAGTGACTTTTTTCAGAAGCTTCTCGAACACGCATAAAAGATTCATCGGACTGACGGAGACGAAACGTACATCCATGGCTATGGAGTTGAAGTCTGTGTGAAAACCCTTCTGTGTATGGCAGACAAGCTCCGCGAGCAGTTTACGCACAAAAACTTCGTCTGACGACCTTCGGAGAGAAGCATGTTCCGAGTGCCTGCTCGTCTGAGCATCAAAACACGACACGGACGGTTCCTCGACATTGATTAGCTGTGGGAGTTCCGAAATAATCTGACGCCACATGACAATGCTCCTCAGCAAGCAGATACCGTATTCGTGGAGGAGCGTCTCTCTGACCAGAGTTTCCGGAAAAGTGATCACCTGAGGCCAGCCGGTTAATATGCGGAGCCAGCCATTCCTAATGAGGGTGTACATAATTTACGCCCCGGTGGTCGCTCTGAGCCTCTTATTCCCCGACAGGGACGGAAACGGAGGCTCTTTGTTCGATGCTTCGATCAGCGTTCCTCGAGTGACATCCGATTCTGTCAATCCGTCGCCTCGCTCACGGAGCGTCTACTCCTCGAGAGCATTTTGCACGAACGCTCCGATTCGCTCATATTCCAACGACAATGATGGAGAAGATCAAGATCAAACGTATCTTGTTCGACTTTAATCCGCTATTGCGATCGAGCCTTTCTTCTCCGTACGCAATGAAATTATTCGTCCGCTTGGCCGAAAATCCTTTTGGATGGATTCCCTGGATCTTTCCGCAGAATAATTTCGTATCTCCCAGATTCTCCGTCGGGCCTCATTCAGACTTCGAGATTATTCTCCACCGTTCCAAAAACTCACTGACTGAGAACATGAATGCTTTCCACCGACAGATCCTCCGGCAATCACGTTATCCGTCGAAAACGAACGAGTACAAGAAGGAGACACGGTTCGGTTCATCTGCTCGGCCCAAGCGAATCCCGGGGATTTGAGCTATCGGTGGTTCCGGAATGACGAGCCCATTCCGCTGGATGAATCGCAGAACACACTCGTTCTCGACTCGGTTTCTCGTAAAATGAACGGCGAAACCGTCACGTGCGAAGTGCGCAATTCGATCGGTACAAGTAAATCTACTCAGACATTGAACGTGTATTACAAGCCCCAGTTCAAGTCGGAAGTCGCGGTCGTTGCGGCGGAGCTAGGTGAGTTTTCGAAAGGAGCGAGTTCAGAGAGACTTCTCCATGCGAGGGATGCCGTCACATACGGAATATCCGAGCGAGAAATCTGAGACGGTGCACTTTCATTTGTCAACAGGCTCCGAAGTCAGGCTCGACTGCGAAGTGGACAGCAACCCGAAGCCTGACATCATTTGGATGCGGGACGGAAGCCCGCAGGTCCTGGAAAAGCAATCAACCCTCATAATTCGCAGCATGAGAGAGTCGCACGCCGGAAAATACATTTGCAGAGCTTCGGTTTCTGGTTTCCAGGTAACTATGGGGTGACAGAAGGGAAAAGGAAACTTACTCGGTTACGGTAGGATAGAGGAAATCGTGAACGCTCCCCCTTGGAAGAGAACGTGATGAAGGGAACGGAGGTTTCGAAGCGTCCACCGAGATTCGAATGTATCGTCGATATGGGAGCAGGCTCACGGAACTCGGACCTGGACTCATTCGATACATTCGAGATGAGCCAGACCCGAGCTCCGAAGCTAAGAAACCTGGAGTTAGGCGCGAGCGCAGTTCCCTCGGAAGAGGCTCAATGAGGGCGTCTCCGATCCTGACTCGATTTTTCAGGAAATAACTAATGAGATAACAGTCTACGTGAAAGGCCCGCCTCGCATCAGCAGCCCGCCGCTGCAGTACGGTATGGAGGGCCAGGAAGCACAGGTTGAATGTCTCATCGTCTCTGTTCCTCCTGCCGGGAAGGTACGATGGGAGAGGGATGGACAGCTTCTCGATATTGACAACAACCAGGGTATCGAGATGATCAAAGGTGAGCACCGAACACGCGGCTTCCACCATCCGCCACGGAATATCTGCATCCGATGGTCTGTTCCGAAGAATTCGCGGATCCGGAGCGACTCGATGGGTTTTTCATGACGTTTTATTATAAACCACGCAGAGCCTCTGACGAATGGCGAGAGGAATCTTCTTGTGATCCATCACGCGTCCGATCGAGATTTCGGAGAATACAACTGCACCGCTTGGAACTCGTTCGGGGAAGACAGTATGATTATTTCCGTGAGGAAACATCGGAATATGGCGACGCTCGTGGTTATGCTCGGTGCCACGACAGGAGCCGTGGTGATCGTTCTGTTATCCATCATGATCATATTCTGCGTTCGGCGGAGGTCGTCGTCTACATCGCTCAAAGGTACGTCGACGAGCCAGGTCGAATATAAACTTTTTGAATGAAACCATGCATAGCAAGCCGTGCCTTCCGACAATTCGTCGACCAACTGAATGAACGATTGAGTCGATCTCGTCGGGAATCCGCGCTGTTTTCAACTCGGGCTCTCGATGTTCTCCTTCGGAAGTCCGAAAGTTCTGCAAACAGACACGGAACGAGTGAGATTCCCATTGACAGATCGGGACTTCCCGTTAAGATCTGAGCTCACCGATAGGGTCCCCATCTAGCGACTCTCATTCCAATGATTGTCTCCAACGTTGAACTCTGGAACCACAGCGGACGATATTCAGTGCCGATTGTCGAATAAGGCATGCCTCAGTTGGTTTCGGTCTGGATGTCAACGAAGGAGAATTTTAAGCTCCTTGACGGCTAACTGCTGCTAGTCACGGTGCGCGGGGGGCTCGCCCTCCTGTCTCGCTGGCAGGCAAGCAAGCTAGCTGTTTCGGTTTTCGGGGTCGCAAGGTTTAATGGAGGCTTTAACTGGCATACGACAGCAACGACAACGCGGACGTCAAGGATGGGAGCGAGCCATTGAGTCAGGAGCCAACAAAAGGCTTCCCTTCGACTTGCTCCCCTCCCGCCCGTTCGTGCGTCCACATCACTGGCGGGCGGCAGAGCGGCCGTCACCACGTAGAAAAGAGAAAGGCCTTCGTCTAACTTATCTCCTGCTCAATTGACAGACTTCAACAATGAGAACAAGAACGGGAAGACTCTACCGAATGGCGTCCTCAGCGGAGACTCCAACATCGGACCGCATGGCGATCTGAAAGTGGAAATCACGCCCACGATGACGAGCGTTGATGGAACGGTTCCATCTTCCGTCTGGAACGATAACGACAACTCGCATACCGCGTTGCCGTCGTACCACGCAGTCACGTCCGAAGGATTTGGACAGACGTCGACAGGACCGAAAGCGGTACGTACCTACGTACGCGAATATCGTAAGTCGCTTGACGTGTGGGGCAGTTTCAAGTCGTTCCCAGTGGGACGAGAGCAACAGCAGGAGCAGCAACAGCGGTCCGTCCGTCAGACAGTCTTGCTGTGGAAGCGACCGGGGGAACCACGCTCAGTCGGGAGAATCGCACAGAGAGAACATGCGCTCGCGACTGCGGCTTTGTGAAGATGTACGAGGAATCGATGTGTCGTTCGATTCCTTGTTATACGAAGATGAAGTGATGTTGTTGCAGACGGGTCCCTCCGTGCCCCTCACGTTTTTTTCCCGTCACTCCCTGAGCACAGCTTGTCGTGAAGAGCTCAAAGATTCGGAACGTGAGTCTCGATCCTATGCTCGCTCTCACCTTGAGAAATTGCGTACCAATTTACGCGGTGTTTCACACGTCGTCCGCTGGCGCAGATTCTGGATCGTATTCGTGTTTGCCTCGCCTTCCTGGAAGGGGGATTTCGGTCCATGTGGTGATTTTCATTCGATTTCAGTTGAGAACAATGCATGGAGACGCGCCACGAGTCCTACCCCTTCCTCCGTTGAGCTTTGAGCTTGTTCGAACGAGAAGTTTGTTGACCTAAACAGTCGTTTCTCATTCGAACTCGGTGCCGTACATTAGGGAAATTACTGCTTGAGCTTGCTGCTTCTGTCACAAGCGGAAGAGCGTATAGAACCGAGGGGCTGGTAACCCAAAGCGGAAAGTTCGTGGCTGCCACCTGTAGCGGCGCTCGCATCACGCGCTCCACTTAGGTAGATGAATAGCGACATCTCCTCGGGCTGCTGATGCTGCTGCAGAAGCGGTTTCGAGGAGACTTTCCGTTTTAGAATCAAAGGACGCTTTCCGATAGGCCGACTCAAGAGTCGTTCCCTGAATAGGGCAAATGGGAAGGAAACCGGAGTAGAGCGAGTGGCTTGAATGCCAGTTCAAGGGAGACGCCGTGAAGTGTCAGGCAGACTTGATGCACTATCCGAACTCTCAATAATGGTCGGTCAATGATCGCATTGTCACGAGGGAGTGCCCCAAGACGATTCTCCGCTCTACAGAGAGGTGCATTCATTGAGAGAACGTTGCCGTCGCTCTCTGACACAACTCGGAGGACACCTGCATCAATATATCTCAATCATTCGGGGCATTGCAGCGTTCCAGATCACCATTGCTCACTACCTCGTCGCCATTCATGCTGTCCTGAGCGACGAAACTTCCTGAAAAGCTCCTGAAAAAAATTATTTTCTCCTTCTTCTCTGTATCGAGCCGCTGATTCCTGGGAGAATTCGGCCTAGCCACTCTGTTGCGGATGATACCGCCTACAATCCGGGTCTCTCGTAGAACTTCCTGTGGGCTTCACCTGCAGGTCGAAACTGACAATGAGTGTTGATGCGGCGAGCTCCCACCCACTCTGCGAGAAAGAATAAGGGGGATCCATCCACATGAGTCAGTGCTTGACACCTTGATTACGACATGAGGTATGAACTCGATATTCACATCGAGCTTTAGGCGAATTGTGTCAGATTCACGAGCCCTGACCCCACGCGGGGCGCTCAAGTTCAGACCGAGCATCACTCAGAGCCTCGATGGCGAAATCGGTCAATAGATGACTCGTCACAACAAGAGCAGATTTATTTGATTGCAGCAAGGCTTTGACACGCCGCCCACTGCATTAGCGACTCGCATTATCGAAAATGAGGGGCGTATAGGGAAGCGGCGCGGGAGAGGCCGGCCGTCTAGTTGGAGTAGGAGGTGGTCGTCTCAGAGTTTCAGGCTTCTGCCTGGGTACATTCCCCACATCCGTGGCGACGTCGGCACCTTTCCTGGGAACTGAGTCAGGTACTCAGGACTGGGCGACTCATCTTTGGAGCTCACAAAGAGGGGACATCGAACGCCATGAGCGTATTATAAGAAGTGTTCTCCCATTGCAGAATGGTCAGCAAAACAATAACGCTGGATACCAGGTGTCCTACAGCGACTCGATAGGCAGCGGGGACTTCAGCCTCATCATAGGAGGGCCGCAACTCCATGCGACGTCTCCCATTATTGCCAATGGGGCTATCTATAATGGCAGCGTCACTAATGCTGCCCTCATACTTCCTCAGTACGCGCTCAACGACCTCTCTGGGTAAGCCGCCGAAATTTCCCAAAAACAATCCTATCCCGCAGTCGACCGGTAATCCTCCGGAGCGCTCGTCGAGCAGGAACGAACTCGCCGCATGAGAAGCACGAATATCGGCAACGGGAGGTCTCATTCATGACGTATAGTTTGTACTTTGTTGCATCGCCAGCGATTGCTCAGACCGAAATGTTCCGATCCGTTGAACGAAGCGAACTACTCGTATTTGCGCAAACGGAAGCGAAAACATCCATTTTAGCGTCTGATGGAAGAACTTCGCAGATGGATCACAGCGTTGCTAATTAACAAGTTCTCCGCGAGCAGGTCCGCGACGAGTCCATCGGAATGTGGGACGCTATCACGAAATACGTTCACGTTGCGTCAGCATCCGACGTCGCCCCCTCAGACCGGCACGCTTCCTTTCCGAAAGCAAGTGACGTCTCCTGATCATATGTCTCCGCAAAGGTACGCTTGGGATTGTTGAACCGTTGAATCGGACCTGTTTAGCTCGCGGGTTTCGAGACTGCAACCGCCTGCCGCCGGCATATCCCGGAATTCCTATCCCCGTCCCCTCGAGCCGTGACCGTTTCGTTTATTCGGACCTCCGGAATCGATGCCACGAGGAGTCACCACGATCCCGTCTTTCCAGGTACATAACTGCCAGCCAAAACGGTCATGTGGTGGGATCGTTTAAGGGCAGTCAGCTGGCAACCCATGTATGATGTCTGACCGCGCCGCGCGGATGAGCTGGAGCCATGTTATGAAAGTGAATGTAAAATGTGTCGCAGTCGTCGGACTCCAGAAAGGAAGAAAGTTTAGGGACTGCTCAATTGTGTATGAAACAACGATCTACTCGTTTGATCCGGGGACTTCATTGCGATCACGAAGCGCTGACAGTACTGCAAGTCCCTTGAGTCATGAGAGAAACTTCGAACTCTATCCTTGCTTGGGGTCTAGTTGCAGATCATGACGTGCTGTGATTCGCACAGACTATCAGGGTCGTTTCGAGTTTGTCGTCGGAAAAAACTGCAATAATTTTTCTCGCTTCGGAACCAACAACAATAAACTTCACACAGCGTGAGAGGGGGAACTTTCGAAGGCAACACGAGTTACAGACTGACAGCCCCCGAGATCGTGGTCGAACGAAGGAACGAATGAATGGATGAGCGTATTGAATGATCTGTATCATATTTGTGATTAAGCCAATAGATGGATGGTTGAAGCCAACCGGCCAGAATTCACCGCTCACTCTTTCCGTTTGAAGCCTGGTGTTATAGAAATGCAGATTGCGGAACCAGGATGGCTGAGAATCGGAAATTCATTGGATCCGACGAGTTGGTCCTCGTAGTTTCGCGATGCCCCGATTTGAATCAATCGGACTATCGAGAGCAACAGCACTCCAGGCGGAACCTGATCCCCGATTCTGATACCGAAAGGTCGAGTTCGAAGGTCGCTGTGTTTAGGGATGATTGGATCGAAAATGACTTTACCCGTAGATCTTGTCGACGAAATTGAAACCGCTCGCCTTCCCTGTGCCTCCCTGCTTCCCGGGACTGCTGTTGCTCCGGTGTTTCGCTGGAAATGCGCGAGAATGCTGGAAAGGATGCCGGGCTGCGAAGGAAAGTTGGCTTTTGATGTAAATATACTTTGTACAAACTCATGACTCATGAGTTCAACCTTGAAAGCAGACGGGACAAGGGGGGCAATCGATAGCCGCCGGGAATAACTACCACAACTACATGATTGAAACTGTCAAATAAGGAAAAGCGATTGGCTTATTTTGTAAATAAAAGATTTTACTGTGTGTAAAATATTCGCTCAACAGCGTCGGCTTCTTTATTGCTCGATTCGCAGCTCGGAAGATGATCAGCTCCATTGAGGACTCATGTCAAGGCTGTAGGTCAGCGGTTCCCAACCTTTTCGGCTCCTAGCGAACCCAGAATTCCCCCGCGGCTCCCGCGGCTCCCAGGATACCCAGTGCCCACGCGGCTCCCGCGGCTCCTACCTACTCTCCCTTCTTTCTCCCTTAAAAGGACACAAGGAAACAAAAGGTGCTCCGTGCGGTGGTGTGAAAGCGAGTAAGATTTTATTTTAGCTTCGTTCGCTTCTCGATAGAGTTGGGCGGAATAGGTTTGAACCGAATGGCGGGAACACAACCGTGGCGGATGAGGTCGATCCCTTTCGGAACCTTCCCTTGGAATTGACAAACCCTGACGGCCCGGACCTACACCAGAAATTCGTCCGCGGCTCCTCCACAAAAGTCCCGCGGCTACCCTAGGAGCCGCGGCTCTCAGCTTGGGAACCGCTGCTGTAGGTTGTAGATCTCCATCAGGGGTATTCAAGCTTCAACAGCGTCGCGGGAATTCCCGCTCGCTCTCATGAGGATCCCGCCGCTCCCGGAGCGAATCTCTCCTCAGAGGTCTCAGCCCGGCCCGCCCGCCAGCCGGCCAGCCAGGATTCCTCGCCCAGGACGGTGCGTTCGATCCGAATCGCGTGGTATCGTGCCAGCGGAGAGATCCATAGCTCATATTCCCGCTCAACGTGCTATTCTCCGGATACGACTTATGTTCCGTGGAGCTTCATTATCCCCATTTGACGTATCAATGGAGGCCGACAGGACCATTGGTTCAGTTTTACCCTACTAACCCCCAGCAAAGATAATTGACGTCAGTCTCTCTCTTCTACGTTCAACAAATCCCGCTCTTAAGATCTACCTCCCGTACTCCTCGTGCGGGTCTCCCACAGATTTACCATACGTGCCATCACACGGTATCTCAAGCATACGTACAACCGAACAGAAAGTACGGCGTACCACCGTACAAGTCGAACCTCGGGATCACCGAACAGGAGCTCACAATCGAGAGCGGGCGAGAGAAAGGGAGAGGGAAGATCCGAGTCTCCGGTACTTTGCGAGCTGCACATTGGAGACATAGTATTTTGTGGGAAGACTGGATAAACATCAGACAGTCTAGCGCTCGATCCGAGATTACTTCTGATCGTTCACTGATGAAACGGTCCCAATCAGTGGATGACTCATTGCCTTTCTGCGGTGTTCCGAATGGATCCGATGAAGTGCATAAGAAACTCAGGGCTGGGAGGACACAGAGCGACCAACTTTGGGGGGATACTTTTCCGAAAATAACGTGATCCTAGGTAATCTAGGGTCAGGCGGGAACATATGTAGGTCAGAAAGCGGAATCCTTCTTTCCGAATAGACAAGCCACGAATGAGTTCAAGTGAGAGTCGTAAGGGGGTCTTCGACTATCCCTCTATTAGCGCGAATCGATCTCTCACCTGCACGGAGCTCTCAGTAGAACTCGATGTCTTCAGGTTCTGAGCTGATCCCGTTCATCTGTTTTTTCGCTTTTTGTCATGACTCATGACACAAAGACAACAGATCTCGATCCAAGTCAGGTAGACTCGATATGACAGGTCATTCTTCTTTCATATGCTCAATCTCCGTGGCTAGCGAATCACGCGACGTCGTCCGCATTGCTGATCGAGCTCGAATCTGCTCTTGAGCAGTGTGATCGATATCCCCTGTTTTCACTTTCGGAGTGAATACGTCGACGCCTCTCAGCGTGATCGAAATTAGCTGATAGTATTCAGTTATGAGTTGGATCAGGATTACTCATTGCAGCATCGATGTCTCTTCTTCTTGGCGAGATACAGCGGATCGAGCGCGGCTGCCAGGATGGAGGAGGGCCGAGGCGTTTGCAGCCCTAGAGGAGCCGATGTACTTCATCGCAGTGCCGCTCATGCTTGCGTGCGCACTCATCAGTACCGTACCGAAAAGACGATACCACGATGAACGGAACGTGATCATGTACATTGCCGCCTTCACCGCTCGTTGCGAGATTCTCCACGTGCTCCTTGAGTGTCCGAATTGGCTGATTGGCACGGTGAAGTCGAGACCTTTTCTGGGGCTACTCTCGCTTTTGCCGCGACGAACGAAATTTTCGGTTCCTCGCCGGGCGCGACCGAGTCCTATCTCTTCAGCTTGGCACAAGAATTGAATGTCTTCGAGAGCTTCGCCCCTTCTTCTGGTAGTCTGCGGTTCTTCGTGGGTGGCTGTGGCATCTTCCTTTTGCTTGATGGCTGGTTGTATGACATCGAAACCGCAGAATTATGCCAATGATTCGTGGCTTGGAGCACTCGTGTGAGAAGCGCCGAAAGCCCATCCGAATATTGATCTGTACGCGAATACGTTCCCTATCGTCTTTGGTTCGGATAGGCCGATCTTCGCCATGATGTCGACGACACGACATGCGTGGCCCGGGGCTACTGAGTCTGCGACTGGTTCTAGGCCGCTCGCGCGGGAGGCGGTGTGGGTTCGATCCCTGCTGCCGGAAAAAATGCAGGTACTCGGCCTTGATCCTCCTGGGTACATTTGCTCTATGGATCCGTCCTCGGAAGCAATGTGAATAACAGTACCCGGGACGTTAAACGTTGGCTGTGTGGATCAGCCCGAAAAAGTTTTTGGTTCTAGGCCGAATGTCCTCGCGACTTCTGGAAACTTGGATCTCGAGACGCAGTTCAGCTCGACGGCCGAAGAATCCAGTGTCTTCCCGTTATCGAATCTGCTTCCCAGTCTCATCCCGTGGATACCACAGTTATGAAGACTGAGAATCTTACCTCCGGCGGTTGACATGGTTATGTCGGTGTGCTGAGTAGGCTGTGATCTCAGTCTTTCCACCAGGGAGCTCGTGATGTGAGATGACTCGGACCCGGGGTCGATTAAGATTCGACATGGTACCGCAGTATCTCTGCACTCAGGCCACACTTGAGCCCTCCAGAGGTAGTAAGGCTCTTCCGATGCGTCCGCGAGCATGTTCGTGGAGGGTCTCTGCCTGTCCATTCACGGGAGCCGGGCGGAACACCTGCGCAGATTGAAGCGTAGTGTTTAGCTCCACAGACTCGGCATGGGTGTCGGGGGCCTTCTCTGCAGTTCCTGTCCTCATGGTCGAGCTTGAGGCATTTTGAACATGCGTTCTTTGCAGCCACGTCTCCCCCGCGCGCACGAGGCTGCGCACCTTGATTGTAAACGTCACTCGTTGTCCAACCGTCGAGGGAGACGGTTGTGAATAACATTCTAAGTTAATCGGAGGAATAAAAAACGTTTTGAAACCTTCGAGAAGTTTTGTGAAATATCCAGTGAGTCAATTTGTAGTTTCTGGAATTTTTGACACATTCGGTTTTGGACTCGCGAAGCTGGTGACCTCTGGCGTCCTTTTTTTAGTAGTTGAGAACCCGCCACGTTGGAGTCGTTGATCCTCGAAGAAGGGAAAGAGATCGTCGGAGTGAGTGAAATCCGTATTCATGTGTGGGTGCGAGACTCGATGAGTGAATTCAGGGTGATTGATTGCAAGAGTCCGTTTTCAGAGACCGTTCGAAAAAAATGATGCTCACATCCCCTATCCAGACTCGGCAGCGGACCACGGAAGCCAACAATTAGGTATGCGGGTTTTGGTGGATGACGTTGAAGGAGCTGTGAGTTCATCGTTCGTAGGGGAGGAGCCCATTGAGGTGGCCCAGCTCAATGTTGAGGTCGGAGGGGAGCGGGACCCCAATTTGACTTTTGTAGTCCGATCGCAGTAGAAGTGTTCCGACGGGGTCCTCGCGTTGAGCATTGCTTGCTCCCTGATCTGCATGACGGCATTCTTGGTCGCCGTGTTCTCGGGCGGGATTTCCACCGGGGGTGGCTCCCCCTATCCAATAGCCAAGGATTCCCCGTCAACTCCCTCGGGAGAAAAAGTTATACGTCTTGACCTCAGCGGTTTTGTTTGTGACCGGGGTGGGG